TTACATAACCTTAGCCAGTTACGTAAATCACGTCGCCGCGTCCATTTAGCAGTGCCAAGTGCTTGCCTTGTGTGGATGTTTGACTTTTTTTTTTACATTTATTCTATTTCGTAATATGATTATAGTTCCTTACAAATTGCGTAATCGATAACGATGGATCGCTCATTTAGTATACTTTCGAATCTAATGTCTATTGTAAAGAAGATGATAGTGTAAGAAGAGTTACATAAAAATGTGTTATGCCTAGATCAAGCTACCACCAGTCAAATGCTAATAATCGCCATACTAGTCACTAAACTATAGTAAAGACGTATGTTGTTACAACATTTTCCTTCTGACGATTATGTAAAAGAGAAAGAGAGAGAGAGAAGAGAGGACGAGATGATGTATTGGGAACAAGATGAATTTGTTTCTTTCAAATCCATTGAAAATGATCGAAGCGTGTGTGCATATATATCTCTATTATATCATCGTACTATGCCGAGTTACTTAACATATTCACGTGTGAGTGTCTTCTTCTTCTTCTTTGAAGAAGTACAATCAGAATCAAGATAGCATAATGTCGCTTACTAATCTTCCTAAGATCACTTAATGAGAACATAGTCTACATAAAATGATATGCAAACGATTGTTGTATTAAAAATATCATAGATAACTTTCTGGATAATGTCCGAAATCTTGACCATGATCATATCTTAATAGATGACGTCGACACTTGAAATTACTCATTTTAACTGCAGAAAGAAAAAAAACTAACGCAACAGATGATGAAATTTGTTCATCCTTCTGATACAATATGACTCGTTACACTATCAATACTAAACATGAAGCTGGAAAAGAAACGCTTCATCATGATTTTTATAATCATGACTCATGTTTGTGTAGGCAACGCTGCATCGTTCTCATTTCCTAAACACAATCTGCTGCGCCTTAAAAAGCATTTGACATGTCGTCATTCTGTATTATTTGCTTTATACACGTGTGTCTCTGTGAATATTTTTCCTTTGTGTTGTTGTTTATCGTTTCGTAGTTGGTAAATGGGTAACATGACGATGACGCTTGGTGTCGTCATCCTTTTGCTGCAATCTCTATAACTTCAAACGAGCGAGAAAGAGAGAGAGAGGAAAAAAATGAGAAATGGGGAAAAAAGAGGCGGAGAAGGGTAACAAGAGAAGGAAAAAAGAGGTTCGCTGTTAATATTGCGTGTCAATCTAATGTTGGTTGTAGTGGTTTCTTTTTCTTCCTTTGTAGAACGAATATAAAAAAAGAGAACTACGCCATAGACTCGCTATATAAATTCATTCTTTCTCGCTTTCTAGTCTATACACGCGCACATTACAAAAAAAAAAGAGACGACATTACATAGAAAACAATAGTCGCCAATAAAAGAAAAAAAACTTAGTTTGCAAAATTTGCTGACGTAAATACATATAGAAAAGAATTTAAATTAAATTTTTTATTTTGTATTATTGATACGTTATAAGAATGGCATGTAATATATCTAAACACTCAACCGGCTCTTCAAAATTTTCTGGATCTTTGGCTAAATCGGTTTTATATTATGGACTTTTTGCTACTCACTTTTCTGGCTCTGGCATATTTGTAAATACAAACGAGATTGAAAATGGGTAAGGTCATATTGTGCTCTTAGTTCATTATGTTCTTCTCTATTTCTTCGTTCTGATTAACCTCAATGCATCGTATCTTCATCGAGTACTTGATATAAAATCTATTAGAAACAAGTAGATTCTCTTTATAAAGTGTGAATGTTTAATGCCAATCAAACATTGACAAAAAAGAAAGAAAGAAAAAAAAATCCAAAGAAGGTATGAACGAGACAATGTCCTTGCCAACTTGATGTACGAATGGAAGGTCATGGACATACATACTGCCACAAACAGATGTGTGCCAACGGAAAACAACTAAGATAAACATTATCAACTAACTAATATTCTTATTGGATAGACAAAAGGCATTGTCAAAATATATATGTGAGTTTCTGTTGATTTTTTTTTCAAATTGAACAACATAATTACATAAATCGAAAGAATGAGTAGAATTTAATAAAAATTATTGCATAAAGAATTGAAAGAAATTCATTTGATGAAATATCTTTCTTTTTTATATCCTTGAATAAGTCTCTGTTTGATAATGAACGAACAAAGTAAATTCTTTTCCTTTTACATGAGTTGAACTAAAAAAAAAAAAAAGAAACGAGTTGCGTAAGTCATCGTCCCTAACTTTAGCAAACGATTGAACAACCATGCTTCGGACTTGGCGATGACTTGCGCAATAGTAGTTTGATTTCGCAACAATACCTTCTTTTCTTCCTTGTTCTTTATTTCTTTCTTCTTCTCTATATGTTATGTTTATTTGTAAACTTAGCTAGTCGAACTAATTAGATAATATCTTGTTGTTTTTTTTTTCATTTTAGTAATGCTGCAACTGAAATTTCACCGATACTGAAGTCAGATATTAGTGGACAATTCTAATCATCTTTTATTTATTTTTTATTAACTCTCTTTACTTCATTGTTTGCTTTTATTTTATTTTTCTTTTTGTTTAAAATCCTCCATATAAAATGTCTTCTTCTTCTTCTACTACTTCTTCGTCTCAAGCATCACATCATTCATCATCTGCTAAACATGATGATCTACCTTTATTAACACAAATATCCTCATCTCCACGAAATTCCAATCCATCAACTCCATTTCCACAATCAACTGATTCATCGGGTCCTCTTACACCAGATGCTATTCATCTTCATAATCCATTTGCTGCCTTAGCTACAACAAATCTCCCATTATTACCTTCAATTCGTACTATCGGTGAATATGAATTAAGTGAAACAAAATTAGATGATTTTAAATGTGCTCGTCATATTCCAACTGGTGAAGCATTACTATATAAAGAATTTTCACTTGAAATTGTTCGTCAACGTTTAGAACCTTATCAACGTCTTATAACAATATTACAATTATCAAATAAAAATTCACAATTAACAATTGAACAATTAGCTGATAAATATCATATACATTTTTTTCGTGATATTATATCACTTGATCGTACAGCTATTGTTTTATATCCAAATTATACAAATAATCTTCATCAATATATAACTGAAAAACATCGTTTAAATGAAAATGAATCACGAAATTTATTTTCTCAAATTGTACGTGCTGTACAAATATGTCATCGTGTTGGTTTAATTGTACGTGATTTAAAATTACGTAAAATTATTTTTAATGATAATACAAATACACATTTATTATTAACTGGAATTGATGAATCCATTATGTTATCAACTCCAACAACAACAGATGATTTTGTATCGTCACGTTTTTCATGTCCGGTTTATGCATGTCCAGAAATTGTTCTTAATAGACAAATGTATTCAGGCAAAATGGCCGATTCATGGAGTTTAGGTACTCATAAATACTTCCGCTTCTTTCTTTTTTATGATTGTGTAAATAACAAACAAACTCCTTATTTTAGGTATTATTCTCTATACAATGCTTTTTGGTCGTTATCCATTTTGTGATCGAACATTAGTTGGTTTATTTATTAAAATTGGTCGATGTCGTCCTGATATTCCTCGTACAATATCATTAAAAGCACGTTCATTACTTCGATCATTAATTCGTGTTAAACCCGAAGAACGTCTTTTAACTCAAGATATACTTGGACATGTTTGGTTCGGTGGTGATAGAAGTGCATCAACATTATCCATGAATATATCAATTACAAATTCAATAATTAATGAAGATTTACTTGTATTAAATAATAATAATAGTAGTATAAATAATAATAATAATCATGATGAAATGACAATAAAAGAAGATGCTGTTGTACCTAATTTTGAATGTGAATAGCAGAAGGAAATGTATAAAAATGCCTTTATTCTTCTTCTCCCACGTATTCAACAAACTTCTTCTTTTCTCTTGTCCCAACTTATTCGTTTTTTCTTTTTTTTGTTTTCTTTATTTCGTAATTTTCTTTTTTTTTCTTTTTTCTCGTGCCCTTTTACTTGCGCTCTATTTTTTTGCCAAGAAGAAAAAAACAACAAATACCATTCATGGACGTTGGGTTTTTCTTTTCTTTTTTAATTTCCATTGGAAACAATGAAAATATTTTTTTTCGAAAAACAGAAAAAAAAACTTTTAGATAATCAATATTAGAATTATTTATTATTTAATTGATACATATGAACGACGAGTATAATAAACATAGGCAGCAAATAAAAGTAAAATAATAAAAAAAAGTAATAAACCAACTGAGATAATAATTATTGATGCAATACCCCATTCTTTCATTAGTTTTGTTTGTGCTTCTGAACAGGATGGACATGATGGTTCAGAGGAAATAACAGATGATGAAGCATAAAAACACTAATGACAATAATGACAAAATTATATATTTGAAGTGAGAAGTACTTACATTATCTAATAGAGACATAGCAATTTGTTCGATATTTTCTTTTGTTAATTGTTGAACTTCTTCATCAAGTTCATATTTTTCAATTTGTTCTGCGAGTATTTCACGACTAATATTATACCACGTTTGCTTTATGTCAATAAAAAAAAGACACCCATGGTTAATAGAAACATAAGGAAAATATCACTTACTGTGTCATGTTTAAGGTGACGAATTTTAAGTATTACTTGACAAAAATCAATCATAGCTGTAGATAAACCATAAGCAAAACCATCTGTTGTTTCTCTCCAGCATTCGACTGAGCCGTCGGCCGTATTACATTTTCGTCTTGTAATAATTCGTAAATAGAGCAGAAAAAAAAAACTTTTAATATAATTTCTTACTTGCATTTTTTTTCAAATAAATCTCGATGTCCAAAAACAATTATTATAGTACAAAGAAATATCGAAATCACTCCGATATTCCAATGCATTTTTAAAATCTAAAATTCACAATAAAAGAAACTTTTTTTTTTTAAATATTTTAAATGAATGATTAAAATGTTAAAGTATTTCATTTTTATTTGTTTATAGTTCTAATGCATTAGAAGAGTGCAAATTATTAGATGAATTATTTATTGCCAACGGATTCGAAGCTGGAACAAGTGGTGAAGCTATTTTTGAAGAACGTACTCGACGATATGTTTGAAAAGATTGAACGAAACAAATTAGAAGAATTAAACTAGCAATGAGTATACTAATTATTAAAAGTATCATAAAATTTGTTAAACTCGAAGAACATGTTGATAATGAACACATTAATGTTGGCAGTTCGTCAATTGTTTCAATTGGTTTTGATGTTAAATTGGTGCACTACAGAAAAAAAAACAAAAGTAAAAACAAATTAAAATTTTTATATTATTAAAAGAATATTTATTTTACTAAATCAATAAGAAGTTGTTTTGATGTTTTAAATAAATTTATATTTAGATTACTATCGATTGATTCATTTGTTAAATGATTTTCAAGTGCATTGTCAACAAATAATATACTATCATTTAACTATGTCAATAATCGAATATATTAATATAAGAAAAAAAAAAAGAAATTTAGTACAAACTTCGTGGGAATGTCTTCGTTGAAATGTATCGATATAAAGAGAAAGACTACTAAATGAAAACAATCGTTCAATTAATTCTGATGAACGATAAACTAAAGCTTCACGCCAACATTCTTCACTTGTTGTGCAATTTGTTCTTAAACAAACAATATCAGTTGAAAGAAATGAATGACTTATTATACAAACAAAGTAAACCTGCATGATGCTGTCTCACATTGATATTGTGAAACGTTAAATAAAATAAGTAGATAAAAGAGTAAGTTATTCATCGACAAATAATTTATGAAGAAAAATACGAATTGTTGGTGGATATATATTTATCAAGGTGTATTTACGTGACATTTTAAATCAACGGTAAAGTATGGACACGAATAAAATAAAGATACCATAGAACGAACTCGTGATATGTTGAATAAATTCATTGTTGACATCAACTTGTTTTTAAATTTTCTAAAATCAAAACAATTATTCAAAAATTAAATATTTTTACTTAAAAGATATATACATAATATCTAATATTAGTTTGACTTGTTGAGTTAGATAGGATCGAAAATAAAACCCATAATGAGAAAATCATATTATGAAATTATCCATGTCCTCGAAATCGCTTAAAAATAGATGATTAACCATCATATATCAAAACAATAATCGTGAACTGAAATACAATAAATCGACAATTTTTGTTTCGCTGAATCTGACTATATGTGTGATACATTGCAGTTTTATAGTTGATGATTATTCTTTATTATATTGAGAACAAAAATGATTTTATTCATGTAATCTCGCAACTTCTATTGTTATATTGAGAAACTACACTCTTAATAATTTGTGATGATGAATATTTTTATTTAAAAATATACTGCTTATATTTTATTCTACATGAATAAAACATTTAATCAACATAAAAAAAAATGATGCGACATGCCATCACGTCTCATTTAATAAAAATACAATTAAAAAAAAAAACACATTTTTAAAAAAAGTTCATTATGTTTAAATTGATGTTGCGAATTGGATTTTTTTTTCTGAAGTCATTCCATGTATATACATTTTTTTGTTTATATATTAAATATCTAAAACAAATGAAAGATTAGAAATCGTAATTAAAAAGCAAGATTAAACGAGTGACGATAGAAGAAGTTATCTTAAATAAGAAAGAAAAGTTTTACCACTTTAACATTAATGTACGATTGAAGAGCTCATCTAAAAATTGAAAAATTCTAATTGAAAAATTTCTTAATCTCAAAACATATCAAAATTATCAATATTAATTAAAAAGAAAAATGTTTTTTAGTGTAAATGAATGTGAAAGCGAATCTTTTTCTAAACCTGTCCAATCTTATTAATGTCATAGTAGTGACATCCGTGTCGAAATTAAATATTTCTTTTCATGTCATAATTGTATATATATATATATACATTTACAAAAATGTTTTGAAATTATATTTCACTGTCAATTTTATACACTTAATGTATTTTCTATAGTTAAATGACAATTTACAATCATTAAAACTAGTGATTAAATTCGATGTATCATTGATTCTTGAAAAATCGTTTCTTACACTACAATCTCAATTTTTACGATATGGATGTTTGAGAAGTCAATGTATTTAATAGCGATATATTCAATTTGATTTATATTATCTCTTGTCAACTAAATATTATGAAACCCAATTCTACATGATTATTTAATCTCTTAAATACAAAACATTTTGCCTTTAGTTTGTATATACAACAATTTTATTTATTAACAATACACTTCAACATCTCAAACATTCAATAAAAACACTTATATATGTTTTTTTTATAAACAGAAGCAAACGAAACAATAACAAAATCAACAGAATATTTATCATTAAACAAAGTCTTTCATACATAGAAAATAAATACACCATAATGATTGACTCAAAGCTAAATTTCAATTGCATAATAATCCGAGCTACTGTCACTTACACTTAGAGAAAATGTCTATCCATTATATTGATATACTACATATAATTATACTTTGAATTTGAACAACAACTTATTAACGTGTAATTGATATAATATTTTATTTCAACTTGCAAGAACAATCTATTGGTGAAGTTATAATGTCAATGTACTATCTATAATACAATAAAAATCAACTGTGGAAACCAATATAAACAAATAAACTGTAGTTGTAACATTAATGGCACTACTGGAGTTATAGCTCACATTACAAATTTGTCTATACTCTTTGTATCCTAACATGCAATTATATTTCATGTATACATAGTATAAACATAATTAGTTGCTGTTAAGACATGTTGAATGAGTAAAAATAAGAAATTACAACATATTCTGTTAGTTCCTATAAATAAAGTGACTATATCTATGATCAATCATTTGATATAACTGCTAGTTCTCTAAACAGAATGACATCTATAATATAAAAGAAATAACAAACAGATTGTTGTTAGACATTTTTATTATACAACAATGATATAACTAGAATAATTATTGAGATCAGAGACGACGGGGGAAAAAAAAATGCCAGAAATCTTTCCATTAAAAAATAATTAGAGAAGAAAAGGTCAAGATATAGTAATATCCAGTTGTTTCATTGCATTATCCCAGGAAAAATAACTAGTTGTAAGCTTTGGAAAGAAGAAAAGTGTTTTGTCTCTACATATTTGCAACATTCCATAGGATAGTCAAATGTTTTTCATGTAAGTAATGCGTTGAATTTATTTTATATCAACGTGTGAAAATCCTTTTTCTATTAACAAAAAGACTGTCACAAATGTTTTTATATTTTATTGAATTAAAATGTTCATACTATATTCTGTTAGTGTCAAATCTACTATTTTGCTTTGCTTATTATCTCAGTAATTAAGCAAGAAACTGTCATTTAATAGTTTTTTATTCATATGAAAAACTTCTATGTAAAAAAAAAAAAAAACAAGTCATTATTTTGGCAATTAATTTCATTTTTTTTGTTTTCATTTTTATAACTAATTATATGATAAAAAACATTTTCTTAATTGTTTTTTAAACAAATGAAATATCTTGAGTAGCATAGTTAATTTAGTTGAAGAATAATCACTTGAATCATACAATATTATTTAAAGAAATAGACCTTCTTTTTTTTTTGTTTTAAGAAACTTTTAATTGTAGTATTTATTTATAAATGATTGATGTCAAGAAACTCAAATATGATAACAACTATGTTTATAATACTTTCTATTTGCATAAATTATTTGCATGCAAGTCATCAATTTATCGTTATACTATCACGTTACTAGGTATTTAATATACCATAACCAGCGTTAAATTGACTATTCAATGTTAAAAAAACATAATAATGAACCTTGAATATGAATCATTAGTTGAAATTAATTATCTTTTTTCTTTTTATCTACGTATATTACTATCAGATGAATTTATTTTATAGTAAATAAAATTTGATTAAAAAAGAATAATGTTTATATCAAAATTTGATGTTTGTTTTTTATTAGTACTATAGTATTTATAACAATTGTTAACAAAAAAAAAAAAAATAATTTGAATAAATTTATTTCAGTAGAAATATTACAAAATGAAAATGTTTGTAAATTTTCATTGATTCAAAATAGAACTTTTTGTATATCCATTAACATATTGAATTGTATTAATAATAATTATTTGATAGGATTCTTTATGGAAACCATTCTAGTGCATAATATTTGTTATAGTACTATGTATCGATTCGAAGTCATGAGTATGCGCTATTGCAATATAATTATTAATTCTTTTTGATGATGAAAATGTTAGCTTTTTTTTAATGACTGAACAATCATAAACAAAATTGATTGTTGACAATGATAAACTAGATGAACAATTAGACCTTGTATTAGACTAATGTCAAGTCTAAGACAGAGTTCTATTGCAATAATAAAGATATTAACACAGAAACATTAACACAAATGGTTATTTAAATATCATTTGATTTTGTTTATTCGTACTTGAATAGTGTATAGTTTAATATAGAGCTTATTTATTATTTTTATGTATAATAAAAACAAATATGGAAATTAAATATTTAGATTTAGAAGTTATATACTTTAATTTTATATCTCTAGATCACTTATCAATGTATAGACTTCGTCAATAATAATGTTCAATTAATGTATATATATATATGAAAGAAAAATTTAGATAAAAATCGTTATTGAAATGTGCTCTATTCTATAATTATATATTGATTTTTATTTCTAAATGATATTATAATTGAAGAATCTGACAAAAATGATTTCCAAATGTTTCTTTTCTTTTTTTTTCATGATGTATTTACCAAAGCAATTCTTTCATATATATATTGAAATATGTAATTCTTATATAATCTTTTTTTTTTCATTAAATTTATTTCTAATAAATATAAGTTACTATCAATAATCATTTATTTACTATTCGTAAATATTATTGAATTTATTTGACATTATATATACGACTAATGATAAATAAACAATTGATAATTTTATATTGATATATTATTAAATCTTAAATGTAAACAATAAATAACATAGCCTTACGGTAAATTTCATATTCAAATATGCAGAAATATTTGAATGAAAGCATATAGTTACTGTTAAAAATCATCGAACTTGAATGAATCAATACAAAAAAATCATTCATGAAGGTATTTTCAAAACTTCAATATATACAAAAAAGAAACTGAATAAATAAAAAATATAAATTTCACTTATTTTCAGTTTATATTCATTTATTATTTGTATGATATATAAATTTATTCTTGAATATATTTCGTGATGGTCTTCTATCAGTCTATCAAGAACTGAATAACAAAAAAAAAAGTGAAATTTTGTCTTATTGTTAAATAAACAAAATAGAATTAGTGCATATTAAAATGATTTTTAGAAAAAAAGTATAATTTGTTTTCTTAAAAAAGATTGATCAAGTTAGACGTTAAAAAAAAACGTAAATTCAAGATTTTTTTTACTTGTTGAATTAAATAATACTAGACATTAAAACTGTCTGTAAAAGAATCCTTGAATTAAAGGATTGTTTTTTCTTTTTATTCCGACTGAAAAATATTTTCTTTTCAAATCGTTAGAAATATTTTGATTAACTTTTTTCTTTAATTCTCATCTTTCATTCATATACATTATATATATATAATCTAAATTCAGTTCGAATTTCTAATAAAACAATAGTTTCAAGTAACTTATAGAAAACATTTT